TTAAACATTTTCACTTTTAACATCAGTGTTAATATTGTGATACAAAATAAATTGCGACACTTTTACTCATTGCTATCATACAATGAGACTCATGCCAGCCCATTCCGAACAGAGATACATGTTAATGAATAATGAGTGACACAGAAGGCCAGAAATCATCATCGAAGGTGTCAGTGAATGAAATGAAAACAAATACACATGAGTCAGGAAGCCAAAAAAAAAAAAAAAAAAAAAAATGCTGTTATCACACGAAAACTGCTGAGAACAAACAGTTTGGTCCTGAATTTTTCGCTCCTCCGAGATCTACTGACGTGTTTACAGAGCTCAAAACCAAGACAAGAGGAGGTCACAAGGTCAACGGAGACGTGTCCGAGAAGCTGCTAGAGTAACAAACACATTAGGAGTCATTTACTCCACATGTGTGAAAACAGAGCAACTCTGATGCAGCTTAGATTGCACCACTTCATAAACCTCCAGCGCTCATCTAATCTGCTTTGATCAGCAGAATCTGATGCAGATAATGTTGACGATGGCACACGGCTACTTGTTCTGTATTTCAACCAGCGAAAGTATTTGGATGGGGTCAGCTAGCATGAGAATAACAGCCGGCACACATTTTATGCATGTGCTCATATAAAGGAGAAGGCCATCAGCTCAAGTATTCCTGCCAATAACATTGTGTTCTCACTCTACAGATGATGCACTTAGTACGTTTAACCCTCTTAGATGGAGCTAATGCTGCCCGAATATACTTTGTTTTTCATGCTATGGATGCTACTACTGACTCAGAGCTTCTTTTTTTTGTTTGTTTGTTTGTTTTACTTTGCTTAGTTGTGTTTCTTCCGTAAATGAAGCCACCAAAGTACCTACTACTGCCATTTACTTTTACCTCTTCTTTAACATAAAAAGTAGAAGCCTGGTTCTGCTACTAATTGGCATAATAGTGGACTTCAGTGTTTTGGAATCCAGGTGACTAAATTTGAATCTGTCTATATAGTTGGGCCGACTTGACCATATGTTTCGGTTTCTTTTGTGAAGAAAATTTAACCAAATGGAATTTGATTGATGCTCAGTTGCATCCCACGACCCATTTGTTCAATTCAATTAAAAAATACTTGATGTTGCACAGTAATATGTCTTACATGTCACCATCAGCTGTTGAAGAGGACTGCTAATCCACCTCATTTCCTTTTGCTGCTCCTCTTTAATCTCTATGCATGGGTAGAAAGCTGGGCAGAAAAATAGTCTGGGATGTGATATCTGCCTATTACAATTGATGAAAGAGATTCCTCCTTCATTCGCTGTTCTTTTGTCCTGCTCTGCATCCATAAACCCTCTTTTCCCCCCCAACTCCTCCAGGATTAGAGATCATAGTTTAGGCGTCATTTGAGCTGTTGAGATGCTTATCTGCCGCCTCCTGTAGTGAAAACAACACCTTGTTGCCTCGGTTACACGTCGCAAATGTCCGAATGTAAAGAAATTACGAGCAAACGTCTTTTCAGTTGCACAGCATCCAAACCCAGAGGGGATAATTTTCCAAACATGCAATATCTTAACCCACCAAAAATGAGCAGAAGGCTTTAAAAAGACAAATCAGAGCCAACATGCCCCCACCACGAACACCGCAATTCAATGATTCCAGCTTCATGTTCTTCATGCCCTTTGTGTTTTCCAGCTCACTGTGTGAGTGCTTTGTTACCACCTAAAGTCCAACAATGTGCAAAGGGCAAAGTATCCATTTCTAAACATGGTGGGCAATATTGTTGACAGGGAACACTTTGGCCTACTGCAGTACTTTGGGTCTGACGCAAAAATAGAAGATCTACAAGTTTTTATTTATTTATTTATTTTTTTTTACTATAGGAGAAGGAGGAGACAGACATTAGTTTGAGTAAACACACACACAGACGGAGTAAGAAGTCACACAGATGGTGATGCAAGCGGAGAGCAGAACAGCAAGAAGAAAACTTTGCAAGGTCCACGTATGAAAGAAATGAAACTGAATTAATGTCTGATGTTGCTTCAAGTGAAACTTTAAAGCTACTACAGAAATTACAGTGACTTTGCAAAAAAAAAAAAAAAAAAAAAAAAAAAAAAATAATTCCCTAAAATTTAAAGCCCCAATATTTAGCAAATTTTT